TTGTAATGTCATACTTTTTGGCCATAAAAATCCTGGAGCAACCCATTAGCACTAAGTAAACAAGATGTTCACTCAACAAATAGGAAAAACTATAGAGGTATGTGTCAACGACATGTTAGTCAAAAGCAAAAATTCCTTTCAACACATCAAGCACTTGGAAGCGTGGTTTAAAACTTTGCGAAAGTACAACATGAAACTAAATCCATTAAAGTGCTACTAGTATAAACACTTGTACAAAAAGAAGAAAAAGCGAGGATTTTTTACCGTCATTAAAAGATACGATGACGGTTCGTATCCAGAGTTGTTAAACATTTTGGACGTTTAACGACGGTTAAAAATAAAAAGTTTTATGAAAATTTTTTGTTATACTTGATCTGCACGTACACGCTTCCACATTCAAAATCGTTTCAGAAACTAACAGTATCATAGAGACATTATGAAGTAGGTAGCTAAGAAAGTTAATATTACGAGATGGAATCCATTCCTTCTTGAAAAAGAATCACATAAATAATTTCCTTGAGTGTTGATTCAGAACTTGAATATGTAACGAGCTTGCATTCATGAATTTGTTTTATGAATATACAATTAATTAGAGAATCAATGGGAGTTAAGGAGAAAGATGTAATTAATTAGAGAGGTTAACGGATTTTGTCTAGCTTTAATTATTAATTATTTATGGAGGATTGATCTATATGAAGCGACTATATCAAATAGACTTTCACATATGTATATAAACGTCTATAACATCAACAGTGCAATTCCAAGTTTATAGTAGAGTAACTTAAGAAATATAATTAATTAATTAAGTAAAAAGTTTGATTAATTATTAATTTTATTGGAGCTTGATATTATACATTCATGAATCCTTGCGTCATCCTTATAAATTCTACAAGACACTAAGAGTAAAAGAGGAATTTTAAATTATGGAATTTTAAATTAAATTACTTGAAAATAAGTAATTAAGAACTAATTATTTATTAAATAATGGGATAATTTAATTATTAATTTTGGAATACACATGTGGTAGGGACTAATTCCTCAATCCTCATTCGTGAAGTAAATAAGGTCCAATTCCTTGTCTACTACGTCAGTAGATGATTACATAATGCTGAAACAAGATATCCTGAGATGGAAAAGTTTTCCCTACCTCGTGAGCCACTTATTTCTCCGAAACAAGAGATCCAAGTTCTTTTCCTCATTTTTCCCAATAAGTCGACGGCGTTACACCATTGGGATACTTCAAATAAACTAGAGTCCATATAGGATACACCGGTGCTAAAACCTTTTCTCAAGATATCTTCCAAACGGTTGGGGTCGTTACTCCAGATGTTGTTCCCCCGGTGTGAAACCAGTTGGTTCCGTAGTTTTAGAATTCTGCTGATCCCAAGTACTCCATCTCCATCATTGCTAGTGGTGACGTCAAGGAAATGTTGTCACTATTTTCAAGCCCATTTCATCCAAGTCTCAACCAATCATCGTTAAGATAGCTAGGTTTTGTAGAAGCCTGATGTCTCATGAAGATTACTCAAATGGTCAGTGAAACTTAGCCAATTTGACATAAAATACAAGCCACGAACAACAATGAAAGGGATAGGCCTTGGTCGATTTTGTAGCAGAGCTCACTAATCCACCCGAGCGTAAAGGCAATGAAAATCAATTAAAGAACAACCTAAGTGAAAGCTCTACGTCGACGGGCCATCCATTGAGAACGGGACTGAAGTTGGATTAATTTGAGTACGCTTGAAGATCACAAGATAATTTCAATTTCGATTCAAAGCGTTAAGTAATGAAGTAGAATATAAGGCATTACTCGCTGGGCTGAGGCTCGCCACTATATGCAACAATTCATAGCTTGTTGTAATCCAAATCAAAGATGAACACCAAGCACGGGGAGAAAGAATGGTTATTATTTACATAAAGAAGGTAAAAGTAACGCTAAACAAGCTCAAAACCTATGAAATTCTCCGAGTTCTGAGGGCTGAGAAAAACAATGCAGATGCTCTCAATCACTTAACAACGTCAAAGGACTGAAAATTGCTCCGGATTGTTCCGATTGAAGTTTTGAAAGAACCAACAATCGACGAGGAAAACCCGAGGTAAGATCAGTAAAGGCAAGACCAAGTTGGAAAGATCCAATCCAAATGTGTCTACGATAAGAAATACTACTGGCCGACTTTGAAGAGAGATTTTGATTCCCGTAATTCTCACATACTGCTACAATATTTTTCTCATAAAAATTTAAATTTTAATTAAATTTTTCTGGTTAAACCCATGAACCAAACAACACCATAATACTCTTTGAAAATGTTTCTTACGATTTTTTTTATTATTTTATTATTTGGATCTGAAAGGATGATAAGTCCCACATAATTTAATGAGCAAAATGTATCAATTTTATTTTTGAAGGAATTGATATGAATGATTAATACACATTGGTCTTGTCTATTCTAGGATCCATTTTTATAATAATACCAAAAAATGACAAATATAATTCTAAAATTTTATGGTATCTCACTATCTCCCTTTATTATCTAAACTTTCAATGTAGCTTTAATATCTTTGTACAATTCCCACATTTTATTCTCTCATTTTTCATTCAATTTTAATTAATTCAAATTACTGTATTATATTTTATAAATGCTCTTATTTTTCAATTTAAACTTCGAAACTGATCTTCCATTTTCTTTTTCTCAAATGGCTCTTATGTTATATCACGATCTTTTTATGTTGACCTTAATCTTAAAAAGTAAAAAAGCGACAATGCACTTCTTCGTCCGTACTCGACCTTTGAACACCTTTTTTTCTTCTTTTTCTTTTTTACTTTTTTACTTTTTTACTTTTGACCTTTTCTGATTTTTTTTATTCTTTTTAAGTATTGTTTTCTCTTTAACCAAGGATCGTTTCATAGTTTAATTAATTGTTATAATGTATCTTTTTCCTTCACTTAGTAGCTTTTAAACTAATTTTTTTCATACGTCTCTACTTTTTTCTTTTTTTTTTATTCTCCTTGATGCCAAAGACTCCTGTGCAGTTTTTTTTCTTATGTCCTTATCTGCAATATTCTTTCCTCGCTCACTCCTATAAATTTTTTCTTTTCAAATATATCCTTACTTAATTTTTTTCTATGCAATCCTTATTGTATGAAAAGCGATCCTTATAAACATCTTTTTTCCTATTTGGCCCAATTTTTTCTCAAACTTGTGTCTCTTTCTAAACAATTTTTTAGACTACCTTTGAACTATTATTTTCTTATAAAAACCTTTTCTCTCATTTGCTCTAGTAGCGATGTTTCTCTCAATTATGTCCCTATTTAGTTTTTCTTATGTGGCACTCTCAATTACTTTTTTTTTTTCATATGTACCTCCTAATTAATCTTATGTATGATTTGCTCGCCAATTTTTTTTATACATGTTCTGATTGTACATAAGTATTGTTTAATCAAAACCCACGTTTTGATTACAACTCCTTTTTCCTTTGCTTTTTATGTTTTTCCTTTCCTAATTTCTTTTCGCTTTTTTCCCTTTTCTTTTACCTTTTTGCTTTCCTTTTGCAAATGACACCTCTACAATATAATTGTTTTATGATGTGCTTATTTGAAATGCTCTTTTTTCACGCTTTACTCCTACTAATGTAAGTTCTTTCAAATGTGTCCCTACATAATTTTGTATTTTTTTCTACAAAATCTCCTCTTCAATTTATTTATTCCTTTTGATTAAACTTCTTTGAAATACTTTTTTGTTCCACGATTTCTCGTATTAAAGTATCTTTTACAAATGTGTACCAACTTTTTTTTTTCTTTTTTGTGTAAGCCGTTATACGAAAAGTGATCCTTATAAAGCTTTTTCCTTAATGGCCCCAAAAAATATTTTTTCCTCAATTGCGTCTTTTGTTAAACAGTTTTCTCATGCAATTTTTTCAACTATTATTTTCTCATAAATACCTTTTGTCCAATGTGTTTCTATTGAGGCGTTTTTTTCTTATGATGGATGGTTAATATACACACACACATACATATGTATATTATTTTTAAATATAAAACAAGATTTTAAGGAACAAAAAATGAACACAGCCTTTTATCTTATTAAAGAGAAAAATATGATTAGATATATATATCTGTGCATAAATTTCTTATCCTCTTATTATTTTACTAAATAACAGTGCAAATACCATTTTCTTTAAAATCTTAATATCTACAACTTTTTTGAAAAGTCAGGAAATTGACGTAAAATATTGCGGTCAAAGAAGAGTTTATGTACTTTAGACAAAACATAGCGGTGGCAAGGTAAAAAACACTAAAAGTTGAGATATGCTCCATTTGTTTTGAGAGTTCTGGACCATAGTTATTAGTTCACAATAGTATTTTTCTCTCCCTGTTAAAGTATAAAACTATTGTTGGCTCATCTCCTAACAGTTTAAGTTTTTAGGATGAATTGGTAAACTAACATGGTATCAGAGCGGGAGGTCCCGAATTCAAACCCCGTAATTGCACTATTTATTCTCATTTAAAATTATCATCATATGTTGGGTTTTTAATATATCTCGGACTTAAATATTCACATGTTATGATTTTCAATTAATTTATCTACACGATTGTTTATTGTCCAGTCCACGCATGAGAGAGAGTGTTAAAGTATAAAACTATTGTTAGCACACCTCCTAACAATTTAAACTTTTAGAATGGATTAATAAACTAAGACTTTCAAAAAATTTAAATTTTAAAAATAAGAATAATAAACTATAATTCTAAACACACTTTAACTTTAAAAGTACCACTCATAAATAGTGGACACTATAACGAGTTTCAAAAAGATATATAAAGAAATTATGTTAATTTACCAAATAAATGAATAACCCCACGAGTCACATGGCGTCGCTGATATCAAGAAGCCAACGGCTACCCCACGTTTTTTTCTAATTTTTTATTTTTTTTTTCCCCTCAAACTTTCTTATAAATACTGGCAATAGCTCACAATCCCTTGTCACTATTTGTTTCATCCGTCGCTGCTATCTCTTACCTTCCAAAACACAATTTAGCCTAATCGGATAGTTCATAATACACTATAAATAGCCTCTATCCGGTCAGGTTTTGGACAAAATGGCGACGGTGAGAAGGATCAAACTTGGGTCGCAAGGTCTTGATGTCTCAGCTCAGGGACTAGGCTGCATGAGCATGTCGGCCTTCTACGGTGCTCCGAAGCCTGAACCCGACATGATCAAGCTCATCCACCACGCCGTCGACTCCGGTGTTACCTTCCTCGACACCTCTGACCTCTATGGACCATTCACCAACGAGATCCTTCTTGGAAAGGTACTAAATTTTTTTCTTTTTTTTTTTGTTTTTTTTTTTTTTTTTCGCTTTCGAGGATTTGAACTTTAGACCTCAATGTGAAAGTCCAGATCATGACTACCTATTATGCAGGCACTAAAAGGGGGAGTGAGAGAGAAAGTTCAGCTGGCTACTAAATTTGGCGTCTATGTTCATGACGATGGCCAGTTTGAGGTGAAGGGAGACCCTGCATATGTGCGGGCTGCCTGCGAGGCCAGCCTAAAGCGGCTTGACATCGATTGCATTGATCTCTATTACCAGCATCGCATCGATAGTCGTGTGCCCATTGAAGTCACGGTTTGATTGTTTCTTTCTTCATTTTTTATTTATTTATTTATTTACATGAGATTTATTGTCAGTTCATTTCAGCCATACCTTTTGAGTTTTGACTGTATAAGCTAGAAAAATTTTCTGTTTATATTTGTTCACTTGATCCAGTTTGTTAATTGGGCTCTAATGAAATCGGCCAGGTACTGATGGCTGTGATTGATCTTGGAGGCACATTTTCTGTTCATATCTTTTAGTAAAATATGGCCTTTTTTTTCTCTATTTATTTGCATTAATTCTCACTGAAAGTACTCTTTTGGAAAAGGTAATTGATTTGGGAATAAAATGCTGACCAACAGATATTAACAAAAATTAATCCATAAACCAAACGTCCCTTTTGTATGTCATCTCAATAGAATATGTGTTCCTCAATAAATCGTATAGTTAAAAAATTAATCCAACAGCTAGCTATAAGACTCAATAGAATATGTGGCCCTCAATAAATCGTATAGTTAAAAAATTAATCCAACAGCTAGCTATAAGACTCAATAGAATATGTGGCCCTCAATAAATCGTATAGTTAAAAAATTAATCCAACAGCTATAAGAATTATTGATAGTGAAAAAGCTTCCTACCATCAAAATTTCTTAACTGGAGAGTTTTACGTGGTAGAATTTACTAGTTGTTAAAAGAATTTGCTGATTTGAATATATATATATATATATATATATATATATTGTCATTACAGATTACTGTAACCAAGAACATGGACCATGTGCGGGTGGGAGCACGTTCCCTCTTTTGCTTTTATTATATCAAATTTCAAACAGTGCCCCCACGAATTTTTTTTTTTTTTTGAAAGGCCCCCACTACAATTTTTTTCTTTTTCTTAACAAAAAGGCCCCCACTATAATTTTAACAAGGCCCCCCTGGTACAACACTATTTCCCTAATCTTCCATCAAAACTCTAAAGCACTACAACACTATTTCCCTTTATAATTTCTTACCATCTAATATATACTAATCACTTCTATTTGATCCTCTCGGCCCCTTTTCTCAAAATACCTACCCCATTCATATTAGTTCTGTTTCTATTTTGCCTCATCTTCCTTCGTTTCATTAAGAGATTGCTTATTATGTTTGTATTCAAATATAAAATATTTTGAAAAAAGTAGTGTCACAAACCTTTCAAAGAAAGCAAAATCAAAATGTGAAAACCTATCCCAGGACGATCGCAAAATGTTTTGCTTGATATAATTTTATAACTTATCATAATGGAAACTTATTTTCATTTTTATCCTATAGCATAATGTTTTTACTTCGGCCTCGTTCATTTCACCGATTCGAGTTTTTAATTTTCAGTTTCTACAGTAAAAACTTTCAAAAAATATCACATCTAACTTTTTCTGTTACAGTAAAAACTCTCAAAAAATATCACATTTCAACTCAAATTAAAAACTCGAATTCATAAAGTGAACGAGGCCTCATTTATGCCCTTTCTAAAGTGAAGTCATGAATCCTTCACTGACACTCTTGACAGATAGTCAAGTTCGTTTAACGTAGCTTTACATGCTTATAGTGTAATTACTACTGACATGTTTCTTTCTTTCTTTCTTTCTTCTTTTATTTATTTTATTTTATTTTATTCTTTTTGAAGATTGGTGAGCTGAAGAAGCTAGTAGAAGAGGGTAAAATAAAGTACATTGGATTATCAGAAGCCTCAGCTTCAACAATAAGAAGAGCGCATGCTGTTCATCCAATAACAGTTGTGCAATTAGAGTGGTCTTTATGGGCAAGAGATGTTGAGGAAGAAATTATTCCTACATGCAGGTTAGGCTAATTATTGGAAATTATGTGTTCATATTTTTAATTAGTAGTTAATTATTCTGCATTTATGAAACTAATAATCATGATAATAATGAGGATTATGTCCTTTTTTAATTTTCAGGGAATTGGGTATTGGTATTGTTGCATACAGCCCTCTAGGAAGAGGATTCATGTCATCTGGACCTAAGATTGTTGAAAAGATGTCTGATGATGATTATCGAAAGGTTTGTTTATTTATTTATAATTTTTCTTTTGCATAAAGCTTAGTTAGCCCTTACAGTCTCACTATGCTAATACATCATTATATGTTACTTGTTAATGATGGCAGTTTTTTCCGTTAAAACTAGGACGCGTTAGTTTATATATCTTTTTTTTATCCTCCACGCTGCCTGGTTTGGGAAACAGATCAAACTTTCCTAAATGAATAAAATATTTCTTGAACTTCAAAACTGTTATTTACCATGGTGCATGACCATGTCTAGCCCCATGCGTGTTACTAGGAATGTAAATGGGGCGGGGCTTTATCCGCTGCCCCGAATAGATCTTGAAACCCCGTCCCGCCCCCTTTATAAAAGGGGTGGGGACGGGCTAGAAATTAGTCGGGGCAACGACGCCCCGACATGACCCGCCTGCCCCCCCTCACCCGTCTTTTTTTTTTTTACAATACAACTCTCTTTAACACTACGTCGTTGATCCATCACCGGAGTTCTCATTCCCTCACATACAAGTACTGGGGTAAGGCCTTGGGATGATTGCTTTGCTTCCCATCTAACCTCCATTATTTCCACCCTCTTACGCAACATTGCCAACTCCTCATCCCTTCTTGATATGTCGGTGGAGTGAAAATAAGTCGACTTTTTTTACAAACTGGAATTGCTCACGAATAGGGCCGGAGCATTCTGCCTTTCCCAATGATCTTGTAAGCACATCATCCATCCCCTGAGATTGAAACTTTCCATATGACTTTTTTTTAGCATATTGGTCCTACAAAATTAAGATAAAAAATATTATAAGTTTGCCGACATATTTCCTATTGATCCATCAAATATTAAAAAGAAAAAGCAATAAGTCAAAATTAATTTTTCGATCTCTTCGTATTCTGAAATTTTGTAAGTTTTGTCCTTTTTTTTCGTATGAACTGTCATAAAGTGGCTCGATTTGACTTCTCAGTAGTGTTATACATTCACATCTGCATTCAATTAAAATGTATATTAAAGATTGTAATGCAAACAAAAAATAATTAATACAATGACAAAAGTAATTGAAGACGTACAAAATATTCCTCTGCTTTTCTATATCACCCACGACCATTTCCATGTGGGTACTTGTACGCTCCTCTTCTTTTAGAGAGAGAGGCGGTTTAGGGTTTAGGGACGGTTGAGAGAGAGAGTGATAGAGAAAGATAGAGAGAGCGGCACGACGGGCGGAGAGAGAGAAACAGCGGCGCGACGAGAGGCTGGGTCGATGACGGAGGAGCGACGGACAGAGTTCTACTGAGGTCGCGAAGAAGGAGAGAGAGAGAGAGGGAGAGAGAGAGAGAGAGAGCATGAGGGTTATAAGGGATCTGGGTTTGTTTAAAGTTAAAATTTCAGACATCGCTTCCAGATAAGACGACAATTTTGCATAAAACTATCATTAAATGTTAAAGTTTTGACGATGTTGTTTTAGAAAACCGTCTTCTAAGATTTTGCGCCAACTGGTTCACTTTTTGTCAGTTATATAGACAAGAATTAAATATAACATTTTTTTGTTGTGCTTTTTTTATTAGTCAGTTAATAAAGAGAATTTCTAAGCAAATAGAATACTACAATAGCTTAGCGCTTCATTTATTAGTGTTGTATAACAAATCTATACGCTTCCATACTTTGCTTAGACCATCTCTAATGCAAATGTTAATACTAATTGTATATTTAATATTAAAAATATGATATGGTATGCTATTTGTATTTTTACTTCAATGCAAAATGCTATTTGAAATGCTAAAATTACTGTTTTCCATAATTATTAAGCTTTGAAAATTGTAAAAGTAAACTTTTATTTTTAAAATATGGGACTTTCTCTTATGTTTCCTCTTTTTTGGGAGCACTATTATTCTCTGCTTATCAGCCGTTAGATCCGTATTAAATCAGGTCAAAAGTCAAATCAAATTGAAAAACTAATACAGATCTGACTACTGATAAGCAGGGAACACCGGTATTCCCAAAAAAGATGGAACACTAGAGAAATTTTCGTAAAATAATTAGAAAATGTAAAAGTTACAATGATTGCATGAAAAAGTAAACATTTCAACTAACATAGCAATCAAATGTAAAATTTCTTATATGCTATACTTGGTGGGATATTTGCTATGAAATATAGCATATGAGAAATTTAGTACAATAAATAGCATTGAATTGGAAAGTGTTTTGTGCACTCAAAAGCTAAAAATTTACAATTAGCATATTAATTATAGCATAGTGGAGATGCTCTTACACTCTAAACTTATGGTTCATTTGTGTTTTTCAAAACTACGATGAAACATTCTTCCCGTTCATTTCACCGATTCGAGTTTAGAATTCGAGTTTTGCTACAGTAAAAAGCTCTCAGAAACAGTTACATCTAACTTTTTTACTACAGTAAAAAGCTCTCACATAAAGTCGTATCTCAATTCGAATTAAAAACTCGAATCAGTAAACTAAACGGGCCCTCACTCCCTTTTAAAAGTACTTATGATAAATTCTTTGTTAAAGCCATTGCCACTACTTTTGTACTGCTAATATATGAATGCTTAGTGCAGACTCTACCAAGATTTCAGCCTGAAAACCTCCAACATAATCAAAAGATATTTGAGCAAGTGAATGAAATTGCCTCCAGAAAAGGATGTACCCCGTCTCAGCTGGCATTGGCCTGGGTTTACCACCAAGGAAATGATGTTTGTCCCATCCCTGGAACCACTAAGATTGAGAATTTTAACCAAAACGTTGCTGCCTTGTCCGTGAAACTGACACCAGAAGAAAAAGTCGAGCTCGAATCTTTGGCTTTGGCTATAAGAGGTGACAGGTATGATGATTCCTCAGTTACTTGGAAGAATTCTGAAACTCCGCCATTATCTTCATGGAAAGTTGAGTGAAGACGCTGCATTATGTCTCCACGTTTGATATGTGTTGTTACTTTCTCCTTGTGGCTCAAGACCCCTTTTGGGAACTTTGTCTTGAAGTGTGTTTCGTTATGTACTCTTTAGATTTTCTTTATGTTTTATGATCAAATAATATATGTGAAGCGAGTGTGTGAAGATGTTGTTACTGCTATTCACAAAATTAACACGCGATTAAGTTTGGCCCCTGGTAAAAGTTTAAGGTTTTTTCACTTGTGTACAACTTTTATTATGAATGGAATCACGCCAAATTTATATCGGTTCTTTTCTTAGGGGTATGGTCTATCCGTGTACCTAGGTGATTGTTTCTCTTAAAAGGGTGTGCCCCTTATTTTATTGTTTGGAACAAGGATCTGTGTCATGATTCGGATCATAATTCATGACTCGCTACAGTACTGTTTTCTCTCACAAAAAAACATACATAAATCGAGAATAGTTCCGAATCATGATTCTAAATTCATGAATCAAACATTAGAGTGTTTTCTCTCACAAAGACCGAACCGTTTTGGCGATTTAGAAAAATTCATATTTGAATAAACCATTATGTATAAGGAGATCAGACTGAGCACAAGTTTAAAATATCGTGTGTTTGACACAATTACTCATTTTATGTTTTAATGTATTCATTGCATTTTTAATTTCATATTTTGAACATAATATTTTTTGCCAGGGCCGGATCAAGCAATTTTGAGGCCTTAAGTGAAAAAGTTTTAGGGGGCCTTTTTAATTTTGTGTTTTAAAAATCAATTAAAATTTGAAAACTTAGTTAGAAGTTAAAAAATTCAATTAACTCTTTGGAGAAGTAACAATTTGCTAAAATTATTAATAAAAGCAACATACGCACTTAAAAAACAATCCTTCAGTTGGGTGCTTGCTTTTCTTTTAAAAATATGTCTCAACACCTAAACGTAAATCAAACGGTGAATAGTAAAACATTTGTCTTACATCTAATTTAGATTTTTAGAACGTTTTCAAGATTCAAACAATACCTTTATATTGCCTTTCCATCTAATGACTTTAAATTCTTGAAGTTGAATAATATCTCAAAAATATAATCACATACTTAAAATTTCTCATAATCTACTTCTATGTAAAAAAAAAAATGTTTTATCAATTATGTAAACAAAATAATTTAAGTCTAAAACATCCTTCAACTAATATTGCATTTATTATTTTCACATTTCCACATTACTTGTTTTTTTTTTCTTTTTACAAAATACACACCCTTTCTTATGAAATTTGTTGATGTTTTCGTCTAATTTGTAATATCTAGTAGAAATATAATAAACACATATTCATTTTTCTCATTTTTATTAAAATAAAAAAGGCCTTTTAATTAGATTACGAAAAGACCTTTTCATTTATAATTTGGGGGCCTTGGCTCATTTTGGGGCCTTAGGCAATTGCTAGGGCTTTAAAGGGAATTACCACAAGTTTTTGAGTTGGACTCACCTATGTAAGGAGACGTAAATTATTACAAAAAGTATCACAGCCATGTTATCACAATATATTTAGAATATTAAATATACTCTTAAAATATCAACAGTATCCGACTACGATATCAGTATTTGACTACGATACCTGCTAATATCTGACCACAAAACCAATATCCAACTAAGATACCCAACGGTATCCAACAGACAACTGCCAGTCTTGACGACAGTAATCGCCGGAATACCTAACCAATAATTGATTGATAACTACCGATCTCCACTTATATACCTGTATCTGGCCAATATACCTGCCGGTATCCAATCACAATACCAGTATCTAACCGAGATACCTATCGGTATCCGACCAACAACCGTCAATATTGAAGCTGTATTTGGTTGTTTTACTGAGAGATTATTTTTAATATAGAAAAAAATAAAACTGTGTTTGGTTTATACTTTTAAAAATCTATTTTTAGTACCTAAATTAATAATCTCTAATTAATATATTAAGTAATTAAAAATTAAAAATTAAAATGGAATTAATTAGTTACTACATAATTAATAAGATAATATATTAAATAATAAAAAACTAAATTGGACCGGCATTGACCGGTGTTAACTGGAGCGAGTACCAAATTAGAGCTCTTGGCGAAAGGAATACCTTCCCGATGTTAATTTCTCATATCGGTGTCCGATCCGCCAGAATAATGTCCAGAACCCCAAAACTAGGCGGCGGCGAACCCAGACTTCTCCACCGACGATAAGGGCTAAGATTGGTCGGGTTTTGCTCCTCTCAATGGAGGGAATATAATGGCATGGCTCGCCAGGAAAACGGAAGCCCGACAGTGGCCAACGTGTGGTGGCTTACAACGATGAGCGGTTGCCGGCGTTGATGGTAGATAAGAGAGAGAGAGATTGCGATGGTAGCGAGAGAGAAAGTTAAAAATAGAAATGAAAATGAGAAAATGATAAAAAAATCGTTTTTAAAAAGCAATGCAATTTGCAGAAACGAGAAAGACCCTTTTCAGTCTAATTTTCAATTAATGAATGCATCGAACGTGATTATGAGATCAATTTCATTTTTGGCGCCTCAATTTTCGTGAAAACCGGTTTCAAAACTGATTCCAAACACGCACTAAGAGTTTACCTCTTATTGGAAAAAGTTGATCCACAGTAAAACATATGGCATTCTCCCTAAATATCTCGATTGCCTAAGTTACCTTATGATTGAGCCGATCTTTTTTTGCATCGCATGTTTACCTACGCGTAATCAAAATGGGCATGAATCGAAATGGGCAGGATTCAAAGTAAGAAATCAGAGTCAGAATAAGTTGTTTACTTGTAGACATGATTCGTAATCAAACTCACTACAAATCTCCTTCACACGTTTACTTACACCCAAAATCGTAATTAAATAGTGTAGAAGTACTAAGATACTCATTAAGTCAATTTTATATTTTTAATTTAAAAAATAAATTATTGTATTTATTATATTAAAATTAATCATAATTAAAATATTTAGTGTAATAATAGAGTATTAAACTAATATACATAAATTGTATAATTATTTAAAATATAAAAACAAATTGTTAAAAATATTTAAATAAAATAAATAACACATAACACATAATTTTAAAAAATTAAATAAATTATTACTTTATTAAATAAATAAAGTACATATTCATTTTATTAAAGTTAGTAAAATAAATATGTACTTTACTTGTAACAGGAAAGGTAATCTGATTGGAAAGAAAAATAAAGTAATAGAATTAATGGTAATTCATTAATTTTTAAATATTTACTTGACTATTAGATTGTGTAATGGAAAAGAATCACATTCTTTTTCTTATGTTTATTAAAATTTAGAATAGCATGTTATAAATGTAATCACTAAAATGTTCTTGTAACACCCTGAAGACTTAAATGAGATTAATTAAGGAAATTGAGATTTATTAGTGTGCCAAATCTGGTTCCATAAATTAATTATTGATTAATACATGTTTCTGACATGTAAATTTAAATAATTCCAAGGTATTTAAATATTTTCAATAATTATATTTTGACCCAGAAGTGTGTATGGACACATTTTTAGACTGTCATTTTAAATATTCTGACACCTGTTTTCTTTTTATTTTCCTTTCCCTTTTCTTTTTCTTCTTTTCCTTTTTCCTTCCCGTGTATTCTCTCTCTCTCTCTCTCTCACACTCTCTCTCGTTCGTTCCTCTCTCTCTCCCGTTCAAATCTTCACCAAATCAACCGGATTTCGAACCAAAGCAAAATTTCAAGAAGTTTTCAACGTCAAGAGAAGGATTCGAGGTAAGATTTCTGAAAAACCTCTCTTGAATCTCGAGTTTTTCAGATTTAAAAACTTATTTTTGGTGCGAAATGGATTTTGATGGATTTTGAGTAAAACCATGGTAGAAATTGGAGATCTTGGGTTCTTTAGACTTGATTTAGTACTTAGAACCCAGATCTAGTGGTTTTCCTTTGAGATATTTCATATTTGCACTTGAAATTGCAGGTTTTGGACCGATTTTCTTCGGATCGGCCCTTCTGGCCATCCTGCACTGATTCCACTGGTCGACCGGATTACACTACAACTGGTCGACCGAAGTGCACACCACTGGTCAACCGGTGGTGTTGCACTGCTCTGTCACCGGTCGACCGGTGTACACAAGGTTTGACCCTGTTTTGCCTAAAAACCTTGTTTTGACCCTGATTTTTTAGGAGAACTCAAATTAGCTTCATTTGGGGACCTAGAGTGAATGGATTAGCATCTTTAATCAATGTTTTGGAATTAAAACCCTTGGAATGATGATTTGAAACATGAATTGATTTATGAAACTTGAAAATTGATAAGGCACACTAATAGGAAATCAAAGGATGTAATTGAGATTGAATTGCTTTATGAAAGAGAATTGGATCCTAAAGTGTTGTTTTGTATCAGTGCTAGCTGAGGACTCGGATTGAGGGGCTTGAGGAAGTGAAAGCCGGAATAGAGCAACGCTAGCCAGGTTTGGTATTTGAGAGGTAGGATTTCTTACCCTTTCCCTTGTGAGCCTGTTTTCAAAAGAATTTTGGCCTTGCAAATGTTTTTAAAGAAAAGGCATGTTTACGAAAGAAAAATATTTTAACCCCATGCCTTGTTGTAGTTCTGGGGAATATAATTAACTTTTTCATAAAGTTTAATGAATGATTTCTTAAGACAAGAGATCTTGCGAATCGGTAAACCGGCTGATGGCCTAGATAGGATGTGGAGAGTGCATCCTTGGGGGCAGGACCCGAAACCCGGTCCGGGGGTGATAGGCTTGTGCATGTGGTTGTGTAAGTAATTTATCATAGTATAAATTACTTGCTGATGCCTGTACTATGGAGATTTTCAGTTATATTTCATTTGAAAAAAAGGATGTGAGGTTCCGGTTGTTGTGTTGGAACTGAATGTCTATATTTATTTCATTGTTTATTCATTTATATATGTACTCATTTATTTATTTATTTGCTTACAAAGTTTTATTTCAAAATGTATCCTACGAGGTCTTTCACTCACGTTTTATGTTTTATAAATATAAACCCCTCCCAGGCGACTCTAGGAGCAGTGCGAAGGAGCTGAGTTCGATTGCTACCGTCTGATTTGGAAAGGATTGTGTTCATCCTCCTGGTGTACAAATGTAAGAATTGTAAAATTCTGTAAACTCTGATATTTGTATTTATAGACTGTGGTTAATGTCTGTAATGTTATTTACATATTCATGTATGTACATTACTGAAGATCCTGTAGGTA